CCTCACCAAGGTCTATGAAGTGTGGCCTCACCAAGGTCTATGATGTGTGGCCTCACCAAGGTCTATGATCCCTAGGTAGCTGGTGCTGGACCCACTGGTCTTATCCTTTTGGCTGGTTGATCGGGAGAGCAATGCAATATTAATGTAAATAGAGCCACTCTGAAATGCCTCAATCGGAAGACATAAATTATAGGGTTGATGAAAGAACTGGCTACAAACAATACCACGAAGAATAAGATGATATAAGGTGAAATAGTGACTTGATTTGCATCGTTAATGATGAACAATAATGCTAATGGAATCCAAGTAGCAAACGACGTAACGGTCACTAAGAAAGATGTCTTCACCAGCCTGTAATCTTGGCTTGACCACTGGGGGCTTGTGTGCAGTTGGCTGCGTTGTTGACTTGATCTGGTTTTGCAAAAGATTGCAATATACGAAGCACATGTCACAGAAAACACCGAGATAATCCATATCCCGCCAAGATATTCCTTCGAACTGTCGTCGAATGAGAATACACCCTTTATGGCGATTAGAATAGAAGCTAACCACGTAAATGCTATCGATAGAGCGTACACCCGAAGACTGCACTGACGATGACGCAATGGCCACATAATTGCTGACATGCGCTCTAACGCCACAAGAGCTATGGACAACATGGTAGCATTGCAAGTCATCGTGTACACATGAAATTGGATTTTCACAGCAGGACTATCACTTTGAGCAGCATTTTCTTTTGCAAGTACCTTAAACCCGTATATCCGAGCAATAACAAAATTAACGGCTAAGGACCCAAGGCCTACCAGCATGTCCGCTACAGCCAAGTTAATTACACAGTACATACTTCGCTTACGTAGATGTCTGTTGATGGTGAAGGTGATGATGGTCAGGAGGTTGGCAAGAACGACGATAAAGGCTTGTGTGAAGAATACAATCAGGCAGATGATGTCTGCGGTATCCAAGCTGTTGTTCGATGACGTCTCTGTCGTATTCTGAGACATAGTTGCCATTCGTCTAAAAAGAAAGACCTGTACAAGACGACAAAAGACGACATCAAAAAATGACCAACAGAGTATCCTTTCTTCCCTTTATCTTTGGTAATTTATTTACCCTTTCTTTGCAATATTAATTTCGTTTTCGTGTTTTTGTGTTTGCTTTTCTTTCCTTTCACTAGGCAGCTGATTTCAGGAAAGCAATGACAAAATAAGCCGATGAAAAAGCAAAAGGGGGGAACATCTTCCATCTTTTACCAAACACAAAAACAAGAATTTCAAAGAAATTTCCTCTTCAGTTCATATCCTATTCAATAATGTTCTTCTTAAATTGACCCTTCTCAAAATTATCTTGGATGCGAGACTAACATGAAACGCAGAATAAGTTAATCTTTTTCTCGATGGAATTTGTGGCATTTCTTCTTCGTATTTCCGAATGTCTATGTTAGCCTTGCATTTATTATGACTTTGAGAAGTTTCCATTGCTTGATGACGCAGAACCCCAAAAGTCATAGTACTTTTTTCACTTGTCTTCAGTTCCGGCCGTTCAGAAGTGTTCTTTGTTTTACCTGCTTTCTACATAAGATTTCACTTCATGGAATTGTCTTTCTTTTAGTTCCCGTATCTCTCTTCTTTTTTCCTTCCCTCAATCCTAGACTCTAGAAACTTCCAGTTTTCAGTATTGATGCCCTTGTGTTTTCCTCTTGATGCAGATTCGTTCACTGCGGAAGGCCAAAACTGTTTTATGCGAATTCAATGAATCATTACACTGAGACTTTTTGCACTAGAATTTGGCAATTTGAGGAAAATATACCACAATCAAAGCCGTGGGCAAATCCGAGTTTTTCAGGGAGTTTTTTTCCTGCCGAGGGGCGCCTTTTCATCTAATTTTATTTCTTTAAGATATTGGTTGTTTCACGTCGTGATTCAAGACTACTGGTCTAATCGTTTCCTTTCCAAATTGTGTAAGTCAATCGTAATTAATCTTGGACACTTGACAGACCAAAAGGACTCACGCATACAAACGCACGCATACTATTCGGCAATCAATATATCAGTGCTTTCCCTGTATGCCTTAGCAATAATCTATCAAATGAATAACATCAGTTATTAATGGCATGAAACGTAGTCGAGCACTGAAAACCGGCTCCATAATTTTAAATATGTAAGGACTTTAAACTTTATTAACAAAAAAAGAGGAAAACTGAATGTCTTGACAAAAAATAACGGAAAACTCCAGTAGACACCTTTTCTCCCGGCCTGCGTGGAATTAAAGAACCGCTAACCTGATTGCAGCCAAATAAACCTTATTGAACTGTAATCGAAAATTATTTGTTATAACGACTTGACACAGCCTTGATTGATTATCGTTTTCTAAGAATTAAATTTAGAAGTTTCCTGATATTAATCAAAACTCGTCGGTAGGAATAATAGTCTTATGAATTATTTTTGTAGTTTCCCGGAAAGAACTTCTCGCTAGAACCAGATGTTCACGTAATTATTTCACATTGCAATGATATAACATGTCCTCTGATTGGCTCTGATGTAGTCTATGTTCCTATTGGCCAAAAACTAATTCATGGTATAAGAGATACAGCCAATGATAAAACAGTTTATTTTATTTGTCCGAGGCTTTCCGGCAGCTGTGCCTCTGAAATGAATGAAACACGCGCCCCTGAAAAGCAGTGTGTCATGCGAGTCCCAAAAAATGCTTTTTTAAAAGGTTTCTGTCTGCCTACTTTATAAGAAATCCATGAAAAAGTTTTTTAATTCCCAATTCTAAATTCAAACGTAATGCTGATTTTAAATCTGGAAAGAAAAAAAGGGTGTGTTATAAGAGAAAATTATATTTTTCTAATCTTCCAAAATGAGACATCAAGTCTTTGAATAAGATTAGTTATCTTAACAAAACATATAAATCTTATCATATTTTAGTAAAATAATGTGGATAGAGTCGTTTTCATTGCACCGTGAAACATTAGTCAGACTAATACGTAGTACTTGTTGGTGATAGCTAGTATTAGATCTAGTCTAATGAACCATAGACAACCATTATAATAAGGTGAATACATTAACGTGAAAAATACCAAAATGATACTCTTCCGAGTCAGGTCTCCTTGTGTTTAATACAAACTACCACACACTGCCAAAAACTAATTTAGTCTTTTTCGTTTCACGGTGCAATGAAAACGACTCTAAACATCCATATACTATAAGTGTAACTGGTAATCAAGCTTTTGACGTTATTTTTTCAGGAAAACTAAGGTTATACATTGCATGTTTTACAAAGATCAGTCAAAAGATTTGGAAAATATTGAGAAACTTGTACTCCGTTTTGGAAAACCGGAAAAAATTTACAGAGTCTTGTGCAAAATTTGAGTGTTTTGCCCTGTTGTTCAAAGAGAAAAGGTTGAAGGACTGTCCTCATTGTATATGTACAGTATATCGTTGTAAGATCTTGCGACTACTTTTGAAAGTTCTGTTCTTGTCATGATACTGACTTGTGTTATGACAAGACAACGCGCAGACGCGCTCTAATTAGACCGATTCCGCCAATTGCGCAACTTCAGGTAATTGACGCGGCAGATTATTTTAGTGACCTATCTGACTAATAACTTCACTTGACTCTGATCTGAAGATGACTTCCGCTCAGGTTAAGTCGAAACGTCAGTCACATCAAACAGTCCTACTCAGGACTACATCCACCCGGATGATCACATTACAAATATTGTTGCTTCGACAGATATTGTTACTTCGGTAAACATTCATTCACCTGGGTTCAGACCATTCTTTGCAACACAAGCTTGTATTGTTAGTTTGGCTGAAGTACACCTTGTGTTGGTCGATCACGTGAACATGTTAATATCAGGTGAAGCAAAGCTTTTCTGAAATCCTTCATTCTAAACACATAAACTATTGGATTAATGAGAGAGTTGGAAAAAGAAAGTAAACTAATTCCTCCAAAAACACTAGATGAAACAACGATAGCATCCGTGGCTGTTAACATAGAAACCAATGCCAGTGGGATCCAGGTTCCAATGGATGCCACGGTCACTATAAATAGAGTCATTGCCAGTCTCTTGTCTCGTCTTGATACCCGCTGACCAGCCATCTGTTGTTGCTGCTGTTTGACTTTGATGAATATGACGATATATGATACACAGATGATTCCAACTTCAAGACAGATTGTTAATCCTTGCAACAATTGTTTTATCCACATCTTCGCATGGTTGGCCGTCGTCTCCATGGAAGTGACTGTCAAAACTCCACAGATCACAGCAGCTATCAAGGTCATCGAGATAGCCAGGCTGTATGCCCAGGGTGTTACATTACGGTGACGTAAGGGCCACACAGTAGCGCACATGCGCTCTACTGCCACAAGAACTAAAGACCACATGGACCAGGACCCCATAACAGTGTTTTGTACCTGTAGCCAACGTAACGAATCTTGTTCTAAGTACTCGAATGCCAATACGGTATACGACACTAGAATTCCAATCCCAAACAACATGTCCACCACGGCCAGGTTAATGACACAGTACATACTTCGCTTGCGCAGATGTCTGTTGATGGTGAAGGTGATGATGGTCAGGAGGTTGGCAAGGACGATGACAAAAGCTTCTATGAAAAGTGTCACCCTCAAGATGTGGTCATTCGTAGCACCATCCTCAACCAAACCTGACTCGGTCGCGCTATTCGACATTTTTTCGAATAGCAATAGTTATCGGTGATTTCTTCTATAGTAGCCAAGTTGTTTTAAATCGAAAAACTCCCAAAATCTAATATTAATGTTAATTTAACCTGATGAGATGTGCTTCACTCACAGATTAAGTTTCTTCAGTCGATTAACAGTGTTCAACTGACCACTGAGCTGCAGACGAAAACAGTAACTCGGAAGAATTGGAAAGGATTATGCAGGAGTGGCAGAAGAGTGAGCAATGTGATCTCACGGGTGAGTATGTAGTGTTGAGGAAGCCTGTTGTCCTGTTGTTGTTGCGCGTTGTGAACTGAGACGCTACTGAAATGAATGGAGCAAGTAATTTAAAAATTCTTTTTATTTAAGACTAGAATACACTGACAACCTAGTTTGAACCTAGTGCTGTTGAACGGCGTACGTTTGATGTGACAAGTGAAATTAAAAAAGTAATAATCAGTTATGTGTAACTGTGATATTAACTATGTACTTCACACTTCCTCGTAGCGCATAAGGCCTTAATGATTCATTTCTCAGCTTTGTTCTTGATTCCCAACTTTTAAAAAATGGTATTATAGTCAACACTAATACAAGATATTTTGACTGCCAAACTCTCATGGCGGGCTTGAAAAGATCATGTCTTTGGAGTACCTTTACTATCGAACCAAGTTTCTTTGCCTATAAACAACTACGTGCACTATATCAGCTAAATAAACACTGATTCCGTTATTAAAAAAACCTTTTGTTCATACAGTCAACACGGCTCAAGCTTACCTACTAGTTAATGGTTTCAGTATTGGAATATTCGACATCTTTAAATAATACCGGAAGACTGTGACGTGGTGTTCTTGCGGAGATGCTCTTAGAGCGCGAATTGGGTTGTCTGTCATGTGGTCTGAGGGGACCACTTGCCATACAATTGCTTACGAAAAAATTGTATTTTGGAAAAAAGATTAGTAGTGGAATAAAGGCGCAGTTTTAATGTTCCACCCCTCGCTAACACTGAAAAGACGTAGCACTACGCCTTGCCTTGCCTTGCCTTGCCTTGCCTTGCCTTGCCTTGCCTTGATCATAGTAATAATTTATGCTTCTCATTTTTTGTATGGTTATAGGTTCCCTTAGTTTTTGGTTTTGTTGTACAATTTCACTACTAACTACCACTGATGTAAGTCCGTTAAGTACGAGGACAACAGAGTTAGGGAAGATGATTCACATGTTTATGGCCTATCCACAACTGAGGAAGGAGAGTAACCCAAGAAAGAGGTTAGGTAGGGAAAAGTATAATAATAATAATAACAACTTTATTAGACAGGGT